AGTAAGTTTTTTATTGGCGGGGCTGGGGGATTCGCAGTAAACTTTTTTAAAATGGTTTTGGCGCTCCTCTTTTCACTCAGTAAGAAATTCATCACACTTTTATTAAGTCAACAAGAAAACTGATTTCATCAAATTGACACTCAACTAAAGTTTTACTGATGACCCTCCCTTCTGAAGCCCCAGCCCTCCCCTCCCCTCCCAAAATTAAGTCGGGCAAAGTGCGGAACCATAAAAGTATGATAACACAAGACGGGCAGTGCTCGGTCAGTCATTTGCGGTCATTTCCCAAAAATGTGTTAGGGGGGTGTCCCAAATGAAAAAATGTATATAGAGATACTATGCATCGCTTCAAAAAAACGTAAGTGTAATTACGACGTTAGGGAGTGTCCGATGCAACGCAGGACGCATTCCCCCTGGATCCTCCCCTTGAAGGGTGTATCTTACCCTGGACCTCTGGTATCTCACTACGGACAGTATGTATTTCGTCTTCAGCAGCAGTTGTGTCCTCAATGATATGACCAGTAGATTCTACGTCACCAACAAGTTGCTGCTCCGTAGAGGGAGGTCGCTCCGTTTGAACTGGGTGGACCACATTGAGACGGTTAGCCTCGAGGAAAGCTCTCTCTGCTCCGATATCGTTTTGTATGCTGTCGTAATATAGCCCTAGGAACACAGGAAATTAAAGAGAAATGTTTTGGTGAATCTCAAATGGATAAGTGTAGGAGTGGCAAAATACAGTCCCTTGACTAAACGTTGTCATTAATCGGATCATCCCTACGCGCCTAGACCAAAAAGGATAACGGGTAAATTAACATGAATAACTAATTGTTCTCTATCAGTCGGTGACAATCGCAAAATGGAGAGCAAAATGCACATTTGCCTTCGCGTTTTACGCAAGGAAAACAAGAGCCCTTTCACATCATATTCCATCAAGATGTCCCAAATATCGACAACGTGCAGGCGCTAAAAGATTATCTGCTTGAGCGCTGTTCAGACGAGTTATCGCCGGCTACAGATAGTAGCTTCGAAATAGGTTACTTTGGGGATAAAAGCCAAAAATTTAGTGTTTCCAGTCCAGTACAACTTGCTCAAGACGTGTTAGATAACATATGCGGCAGCTAGTAACTGTGAATTAATTATCCCCATTATCCTTTTCGGTCTAGTCGCGTAGGGATGAAGTCGATCAAACGACAACGTTTAGTCAAAGGACTGTATATACCCGGGCCCCGGTTGTACGAAGGATGGATAGCGCTATCCAACGGATAAATTCTTCGATAAGTTGTTGCTGTTATCCAATGGATAAGATTTATCCACCGGATATCGCTATCCAATCTTCGTACAACCGGGCACTGTAAGTTAGTGGGGTGAGTGAGTTGTTAATTGGTATGTCAATAAACGGACGAAAGAGATGGAGAGAAGATAGAGAAGTGTAGAAAACGAAAGAGAAATGGAAAAGAAAAAGGAAAGGAGATAGAGAAACAAGAGGATGGAAGGAGGTAAAGAGGAAGAAAGACAAAAAGGAAGGAAACGGGAGGAAAGGAATGAGGTAGAAGGAAGAAAGGTAGAAGGAAGAAAGGAAGAAAATGAAGGAGTTGGAAGGAATATTTACGTGCCTTAACAAGTGACAAAGCTCTGAGACACTATAATGTATGTAGAACCAGTACCCATACCTAGCAAGGTCCAAGCTACGACATTTTTAGGTTCAACACAAGTAGCGTTTTCAAGGAAAGTTTCTGCTTCTTCGTAACGCTCCAGCATTAGACTAACACATCCATACAGCAGAAGCCTGCAATACGAACCGATGAGATTTGTTAAATGTCAATATCTTACTAATATTGAGGGACTCTTTCCATTTCTAGGAAACTTTTTTGACACGTGACCTCTTAGTTCAAGTCTCCAATAGACGGCCCACAAAACGCAAATTCAGTAAAATTGAGAAGCCAGATTTATATTAAGAGAGAACAATAATCGATTTTATGAATTCTTATCGAAAAATCTCATAGAAATGTATGATAATTCTCATTATAAAGCTCCTGTACTGATATCGCAGCCCGTCAAGTTTCTTAATTTGGATGAGCGCGCAACCTTGAGGAAACGCTTTACAAGCTCCATCACTTACCCAGAAACATGTCTTTGATTGAGTGCAATGGTCTCTTTAAAACATTCTTCTGCCTGTAGCAAAGGTGAGACAAAGATATTAGATGAGAAGAGGACATTGAAATTATCCTTTATTTTAGAATAGGGGGTTTGAACCAAAAACAAACGATGAAGGCGAAGGCGACAGATCTTTCAATTATTAATATTTTAAGCTTGTAAGACCTTGTTAGATTTTACTCAATTCAGCCTACTGGCTGCAATGTTTTTATCAAATATATACTATCATCTATAAGGGGTGGGGCACCTGTTCCACTAGTTACATCGAAAAATTGTCATATTTTATATTGTTATTTACCAACTATTAAAGTCCATTTTTCTCGTAATCTGATTGGGCAAGAGGGACTCACGTGAACGTGAACAAGTTTTGATGTTTCCTCGGCAATGGCTCTCAGCGGGTAACAATATGTTGTTGACCGGTAATAACAATACCGGAAGTGATTTCCAGGAAATGAAAGTTTTTCTAAGTTTTTAAAAATCGAATAATTAAAAAAAATTAAATAATTGTTGCTGTTCTTTGACAGTTTGTATATGACAAAACACTTATTGACTTGAACCTCGGGAAAGCAGTGTTTTTCCAGACATTGCCGCGCAAAAATTGAAGCGGACGGGTTTTGTCTACGAAAAGGTTATCAATGAAAATAGTAAGAGAACCAATTAGTGGCTTACCTTTGCAATGTCGCCAATCAAGAGGCAGAAAGCTCCATAATCAAACCAGTGACTAGCATCGTTCTTACTTCGAGCAAGACGCTACAACAATGATAATACATTCATTTCATAAAGTAAATAATGATTTTCTTTAAATGAACATAAGTACTACGCAATATAAAACACAGGAATAGTTTTTTACCTCTTGATAGTATTTTGCTGCTAGTTCGTAGTTCTGATTCACCTAAAAGCGAGACAGCGTGAAAGTTTAAGAAACTCTTCAGGACGAGATTATCTCGCCGATACATCATTCAGTGGGAACATATAAACCGGATGAGGGGCAGAGTAGTTTTAAGCTACGGACACACGGTGCAACATTGCATGCAATTGATGTTGCAAGCCATGACACACGACGCAATTTGTTGCATGCAACGTTGCTAAAGTAGAAAACTATCCTACTTCAGCAAAGTTGCCTGCAATGTTGCGCGCAATGTTGCATCGTGTGTCCATGCCTTTAGTTGTATTGCCAAAGATTTCCGTAGGCGATCTAAAGTCTTGCCTGAATCCTTAGTTTAACAAGGAACAATGCGATTACTCGTTTGTAAAACAGAAAGGCGCGCAATAGTAATTCGGCCAGGGAACAAGAAGAATTCAACAGTATTAATGCCATTTCTGCTGCAAATAGATATGAGTATTTTGTATAGTTTTATTCAAAGTTGGTTTCGTACCTCTGCTTCTCTGGCAAAGTGCTTCAACATGGCTGAGTCAGTGACAGGTGGCGGCTCTTCTGGTGAATCATCCGCTGACAGGAACTACAAATAAGAAACATTTCAAGATTCTTTTGGACTTTCTAATCGCCATCCACCGACCCCCACCATCACCCCGTCCTTTATATTTGCATTATTTGCTGGCGGGACTGATGATCTTCCATTCCTGCTTTGGCGCCAAATTTACTGCGCGAGTTTTGCAGTCGGTGAAAACTTTTTAATCCAATCAATCAAGATTGACGACATTTTTGGCGCGAAACTTAAATATAATTCCTACAGGGGTAACAAGTGGACTACTCGAGAGTCTGCGACTCACAAAATATTCTGTACACTCGGGTTTTTTTTTTGGGAAAAAAATAAGAGTGGTCGTGCCGTGACAAGTCTACCTGACCTACACGTGACGGAGGAGGGGGAGAGGGCAAGGAGTATTTACGACAAGTCTAACATACCTTGCTTAGTGCTTGATGCATCTGATCGACAAGAAAAATATACAACTCGCTGAGGAATGCTTGTAGCTCTTCCTTATCAGTGAAGGCGGAAGTCTTCAAGTATTTCTCACGCACCAGTTTGATTACACTGAGCTGCAATAACAAAGCAACGGTAACTAAGGGGAATAGAAACCATCTTTTTCAGAAGAGCCAAAAGACAAACAGTCGGCGGCCATGTTGGTGGTACAAACAAAGGGGACAGTAAAGGGGACAGTAAAGAGGGCCTTTGCGATATATATCACCAACATTGCCGCCATGACGTATGTGCTACGATATCTAAAGTTAGTCGAAACCATCTTTCCGGGAAGAGTCAAAAGACAAACAGATGGCGGCCATGCTGGTGGTACAAACAAAGGACAATTAAGATATGCCCCCAAAATGGCCGCTATGACGTATGTGCTACGAAGAATCTGAAAAAAGGGTAATGGCGTCTTTTAATTAAGGAATATAAAACGCACGGGATGTCTCTCTTGCTTCTCTAGTGCTTTACAGATCCCAGAGTGTTTATATCACAGTACAGAGACATAAGCAGCCGTTTTATATTGCTTTAACGAAACATTTTTGAGCAATTTTGCGCGAGCGTGCTCTGTTCTCTGATATAAACACGGTAGCCAGCCAATCAACTCGCGCGTTATATTTCAAATATTTTATAATGGTAGCTAGGATAATATACCTTCAGCTGTTCCTTGAAAGCGAAATACTTCCCAGAAGTGTTGAGTTCATAAATAATTTTCCGTCTCCTTAGATATAATCATAAAACAAATAAGAACCAGTGTATGAGTTTGAAATATTTAAGTGGAAGAACGTCAACAGAAGAGGCTTACCTATGATCAGCTGTTTCATTGGTTTCTTGAAAATCTCCTCCCATCAAATCGTTCCCAAACATTTGCCTATTTGGAAACAAACAGTATTAGAATATTATTTGACTTACAGTAAAACCCGTATATAAGAACCTAAAATTTAAGAACCTGTTAGGCTAAAATTTCATTTTTAAGCACCCTACACATAAGAATACCATTTATATAAGAACTATTTAAGGCTAAAATCTTAATTAAAACAGGTTCTTATTTTTAAAGAAGAAGAAGAAAAAAATAGAATCAATATTTTCAAAAATATATTCATAACACAATGCAGTCTGTACACAATAATGCTTTAAACACTATAACTGTACATTGTTACTGTAAAGAACATGTCCTCATTGAATAAAAAAATCCAACTTAAAATGAAACTTTATTTTATTTCTTGAACAAAAGTCAAGAACCTAATTAAGAACCTAGTTAGCCTAATTTAACACTAAATACCATTTATATAAGAACCTGTTTAGGCTAACTTTAAAAAACCTAGGTTCTTATACGCGGGTTTTTACTGTATTTTTTTCGGTCTCCAAATATTACGAAAAAGAAGTATCAAATCAAGACTTTTACTTCCACTTATGACGAGCTGTTTTCACTAGTATGACTCCCAATCCGATGCAACAGTAAACCGACATGTAAAGGTTGGTTTGTACTTGCGTCTGATCCGCAAATGGTACAGTAAGTTTCAATGTTTTAAAGACACATCTAAAGCTGGTTCAAGGCTACTGTACTTTTGCTCACCTAAATTCTTCGAGCAACGAGTTGGCTGCAACCGTAACTTGGTTGTGGTAGTCTTCAATGGCCTAATACAATAAACATTAGTTTAGGTTGCCTTCATAATGTATGGCAGAGGGTAGGGTGCAGGTGAAAATTTGAAATGTCCACAATAATTCTTAACGCCCCCCTTAAAGTCATGCAAAAAAATACGATCCCCCCTAAGCAAGGCTTGTAGCTTCTTCCAAAAAGTGTGTATCCCCCTAAAAATTTGCCCTGCCATCCCCCTTCTTCCTACCAAAATTTTCCCGATCCCCCCTCAATTTCACCTGCCCCCCTCTGCCATACATTTTGAACGCAGCCTTAGAACTGCATGAATTATGAATATCCCTTCAGTCTTGGCTAGAGATGCATGGAATGATGGGTGAATGCATGAATGTGTGCTCGGTGGATAAATGAATGAAAGATGATGTGGTGAGTCAGGTGAATGGATGGAAGTAAGAATACCATACTTGATCCTATGTGTACTTAGTTATAATCACTTATAATAATTTAAATGATGGTAAACCGTATGAACCAGGGCATCAACTAACCTTCTTGGATCCTCCAGTTTTACGAGCAAAAACTGGGCGAGGAGGAATGTACTCAGCAACCCTAAAAAGGAATAACATACACTCGGTGTTAACAGATGTACCTTTAAGATGTGCGTGAACAAAAGGTCAGTTTGTTTTTCAAATTTATGTGGCAAGCAAATGCGAGGTTTATTTCTCGTAACAATACAAATATGGATGTAACAATGAGCAATGAAATTGCAGATATATAAAAACCCCAACGGAAAAATGCTGTTATACACAGTGCTTTTAAATGGCACGCGTGGAATTGTCGTTGCGATGAACAAGGTTTTGGAGGACGTCAAATCACAGGTATCCCAAGCTTGGTTTCTGTGGTGTCATGTTATAAGGAAATGTATGGGGATTCATCAAAAATTTCAACAAAATCATTGAAATGTGAAATAAAGCCTCGAAATATTACCCGATCATTGAGAAATAACAAAAAAAAACCATGCAGATCGAAAGAAGTGCTATGTGCAGGTGCTCTGGTTACAGACAATGTCTTGGAAACACTTTGATTGACGTCCACCAAAACCCTACTTTGTCACGACGTATTCCGCGCAAGTTATTGAAACGAAATGTAAGCAGTACTTTAAGCTTATACTTCACATTGTACTGGTACTCACTTTCGAGCCAAGGATGAAGGTGGACGTTTAGGAACAAGTGGATTAGACAGTTTAATCTCTAAAGTAATGAATGTCCTGGCTTCAAGGTATTGCTACGAAATATCAAAGAAAAACTCGGTTTTCTTAATTGGACAGCACGAAGTCTATTTACCTACTAATAATATATCTACCTATTAATCCATAAAGATAAAAGCCAGATTATTCTTTAATTTTCAAAAATAATATGGAAGTAATAGGTAGCTTTACAATGAAGTATAAAATTATGAATCAATGCAAGAGAATGATGATGATGATGAAATGATAATAGCTAATAACATACACACCTGTCCTTCAACGTTTTTCATTTCAGTTGTATCGATATCAGAACCCATTTCTGGCTTGAGTGCAGCTGCTGAAGGCTGTAAGAAAATTATTGAACACATTAAAATGAAAAGAACCCTCTCTCTCATTGAAACAAGTTTATGTTAAAGACTGCATGGTCTTAGACTGTACACCTGCACAGGGCTTAAGGAGCAGAGCTTTAATAAGGGGCATAAATAAGCACTTAGATGGGGGAACTGAGGCTTTGAGAGTGCCTGTAGCCCACTCCCTCTGTTGGTCCTGCCTCTTGGTTCCATTTCAAATGACATACACAGATGAATATCACCTACCTTGGGTTTGGGCTCATTTTTCCCCTGCTTGGAAGGTGCAGGCAGCTTCTGTGCCATAGCAGATGCAAGGGTTCTACTCATCCCACTTGCTATACGTGCTGCCTCCTCTGCTAGGTTCCCCTTTCTTTTAGTCTTTTCCAGTACTTCATTCTCCAGGTATGGTTTCACTAGATATGCACCACGAATCCTGTGGTAAAGAAAAGTAGGATTAGCATGTCATGCAAGAACTGTTTAAAATGCCAAAGCTGAGATGAAATAGTTTATTCAAGAAAGCAAGGCAAGTTATTCATGTACCAAATGTTTAAAAGAAGACTACTACTTAATGACTTCTTGAAGCATGGGATTATTGGCCTGGGAGTGGGACGAGATGGCCAAGCTTTATGATTTCATCTTCTATTGTAACTTTAGACCTTTTTACTGATACGGCGGCTATCTTGAATTATGGGATGCTGAGGGAGCAAACACCTGGTAGTTGGAACAATAGGCGAAACACCATGACTTCAAATTATTTGAAATCAATGTAACCCACCACTTTATGCTTTATAAATTTCTATGCGTTTGCCCCCTCGGCATCCATTAATCAAGTTAACCGCAGTAAAACCTGAGCAAAAAGAACTCGAACCTGATGGCATGAGTACATCTGCAAATGGTTAGACTTTCAAGTGGCTCGGATGACCACTTTAAATGGCGGTCCCGTCTCTCCACACTCATCATAACTAACCAATATCAGAGGGACGTAAAAGAACCACTGAGGACGTAAAGAAACCCTGGTAGTGACCACCCTCAGTGCCTACACTTCATACTAATCATCTCTCATGCTTGTAAATTGCATAAAAGCAATCTGTCATTCACTTATCAATGTAAAGCGCCTTTGATTATATTCATATAGAAAAGGCACTATATAAATTCATAAATCATCATCWTCATCATGGCGTGGTGGTAAAACACTTGCCTCTCACCTTTGAGGTCCGGGGTTCGAATCCCAGTCACCCCATGTGAGCTGAGTTGGTTGGTTCTCTTTCTGATTCCAAGGGTTTTTCCGGTCCACCGGTTTTTCCTCCCTCCTCTCAAATCAACCCTAACTAATTCAAACTGGTGAGAGCTGTGCTCTGGAGTCATGGACTGTAAAGCGACTGCCAGAGGCGCCTTCACATGCTTTCAGTTTGACCCCGTTGAGCTGCGCCACTGCTGTACTTGCACTGGTGATAAGCGATGACAAGTTTATGAACTTTGGTTGACCCTTAAGTATAATACACTGTAGAAGCAGCATGTTCAAAACTACACACCATTATTTTTGAAAGAATTAAGCCATTGTAACTTAAAGTTTGATATCTTAGAAAACAAAATGAGCAAAAGAAGTGTACCTTGTAACACCAGGGTAAAGTAGAGGTGCCATATTGACATATGCTACTCCATGATACGATATTGCCACTTCTTCTTCTGATGCTGTCTGTTTACCTTTAGACTTGGTGGTTTGAGGTAATGGAGTGCGCATGATTTCTATTGGCCAATATCTGTTCTGAGCAATCTTGGCTTGAAGGCTGTATACAAAGACGTAGGTAAAGAGTATCAAGACAGTGCTCAAAATAATCTACATTCAACGAAATTACTTAAATTAATTAAATCATTAATTGTACTACGTAGAGTCCCAATTAAGTTGCTCGATTTCCTTGAGTGTATTATAAACAAAAAATAGCACTATCTTATTGTACAATTTGGGATTGATACAGTAGATACTCGTGATGTTTTAAAAGTTCCCAAATTGGACTAAATTCTTGTCCAATTTTGAAAACTTTCAAAACATCAATTGATCCTACCTATCAATTCAAAATTGTACTCAAAACTCGTGCAATATACTATACTAATATCCCACATTAGTAAAAATACACAGGTGATTATTGAAAATCTCACACGCTGATTGGTCGAGAAACTCACACTATCACATGATAATCACCTCCAGCGATAATCCAAAATGGAGGCCAGCTGCTTTGTAGCTGTTACCATTGTATTTATAATAAAACAATTATTTGGATCAGCCTCAGTGAATATCGGCAAATATTCACCTCACTGCTCAAAGACTCACATCTTGGTAAATATTCCCTGATATTCACTTTGCCTTCAGCGAATAATTGTTAAATAATGCCTAGGATTTATTACTGGTAACTTAAAATTATCCATGCTAATAGATGTACAATAACTATAACTTACCTTTCAGAAGCCTCTGAACTAAGAAAACATCTCCTCTCAGCATTCCATGTGATGTGGTTTTTCTCATGCATGGCTTCAAGCCTAAACTGCACATCCTATGATGCATCAAAGGATTTCAATTAGTAACAAAATTAATTTATACCCTTTTTCATTATGACATGACTCAGATGACTGAATGAAAGTAAATGGAATGAAATAAAATGGAATGGTCCTAGCTGTAGTACTGTAGTATATTTTACTAAGGAAGCCAATAGTGCAGACATCCTTGTCTGTGTTTGGCGCTGGCCCTAATTAAGCTTTGGTTTGCTAATAGCTAATTTTTATGTAGTTATCATTATTTTTTTCTCATCCGCTATCCTAAAAATCATGCATTATGATTGGCTGCATAAGCAAGTATTTGGCATGAGCACTTATTCATTGCTATGGTCTATTCCATTTAGACATTGTAATCTTTTTTTCGCTCCAGTATTCAAGACCTCAGGCACAGTTTTCCCTATCCGCACCTCCTGGCCAGTATAATTGTATATAAATATTGAGTCAATGCTGGGATTGGAATAATTGCATGTTTTTAATGTTTGTGTCAATGTTGCAATTTCTTTGCACAACTTATCTTATAAGTGTACCTCTTTTTCTTTAAGGTCACCATCTTCTTCATCTACAGCAATTTCTTCATGAACAGCACTTTAAACAATAATATATACCCAATCAATAAATAAGACCTTATTTTCACCAAATCCTCTTGGCTGGTCTACTGTTACAGTTATTTTTTTAAACATGCAAACTCGCTAGCTGTGAGCTGCACGCTGAAATTTGTTTTTTTGCTGCCGTCAATCAAGACTGCTGTACCTTTCATATTTTTGACTGGCAGCAGCAAAAAACCAAATTTTAATGTGCAGCTTGCAGCTACAGAGTTTGCATGTTTATGAAAATAGCAGTTGGCAAACTCACGAAATGGGAAACATTGACTTTTTGGAATCTATATCTCAAGGGAAACCTGGGAAAAATCCTTAAATCATAGGAGACCCAACAAACTCTACTCACATGTGATGCTGAGTCACTGATTTGTGGCTAAATGTACCACCTATATATCAGGGCCTGGTCGTATGAAGGCTGGATAGTGCTATCCGGTGGATAAATCCCTATCCAATGGATAAGTTGATGCTGTTATCCAATAAATTTATCCACTGGATAAGATTTATCAGTTGGATAGCGCTATCCAGGCTTTGAAAACCGGACCTAGTTCACTAGTAGTGATCATTAAATAAAGCTTGTGATGTTTCAAAGGATTATTAAAATGTCAGCTTTGCAGCTTTGGTTGAATGCTTTATGTTTGACCAGTAAACTGATGAGGTTTGGAAAGTGGTAAATACACCTCCCCTCCCCCCTCCCCCCCCCNCCCCCCACCAGCTGAAAGCAGTCTTGAACTCTATCTCATAATTACCTTGCAGGTATATATATAGAGGTCCCTGAGGCACTAGGAGCAGAGCTCCATTTGCGCTGGTTAGCTGGTTCCTTCTCACCAGGTGTCCTCAAGATGCCATTTGGTAATACTACTGTATTTTCTTTCTGCAGGATATTTTAAAAAAATGATAACTTTAGAAAGGGACAGATTTGTAAATTAAAAATTGAACAGAAGAGAAAATGAGAACAGTAGAGAATACCATAGGATGTTTTAAATATTGAAGATCATGAAGCTGAGAAAAAATGATAAAGCATATGTTTCTTTTTTTCTCTTCTCATCATCCACTCCCTTTTGCATCCCATTTTGCAACCCTTATCCTCTTGTACTACCATGCAAGCTTTCTGTCTTGTAGTGCACTCAACATGTCCATCCCACTATTATAAGACAGCAGGGATTCCACATAAAACCACCCAAAATTGTTCTTCAGCTGTTCATCTCATAATAATATAATGATAATATCTTTATTTACCCTGATTTAAAAAACCTATCAGCTGGACACGATAGAACAGCTGGTATGAACTGGTGATCAGCAATATAAAATCTATAAAAATCGAAATAAAATCTATGCTAAAATCTGCGATTTTAAATCCCCCCCCCCTCCCCCCACAAAAAGACATGCAGTAATCATAGCTAACCATGATACTAATCTCCGCCCCCCCGCCCCCCTCACAAAAAAAGACATGCAGTAATCATAGCTAATTATGATACTTACCTCAGCAGAAAGAGGAATAGGTAAGCTTACAGTATACAAAAATGGTTGGGCTGGCTGCATAGCCTCTGGTATTGAGTAAGCACTGTCTACACAAACACTGACAAGGTTGCTAAAATGTTTTTTTTTAAAAAGGAGAAACATAAGTAAACACACACTTCTCTATATATAAAATATATACTGATACTACTTCTCAGTCAAGCAAGGAAGTTATTTTCACTTTTGAATTTATCAGGGGCATAGGAAGGTGGAGCCAAGGGGGCCAGGGCACCCCAATTTGTGGCAATTTTTCTAAGGCCAGGGCTCCCCACTTTGTGGCAATTTTTTTGATGTTTCAACAACCTGAGCAGAAGTTATCTTCAGAGTCCAGTGAGAAAACGAGAGAAGTAAGTACAGTATGTATGGTATGAGTGCACAGAAACAAATTACATGCATCTTCTTTATTAAGTGCTTACCTTAAATCAAGTTGGGCTTCTCGTAAAAGTGGCTGAGCAACAGAAACTGTAATTTCAATTTCAGGCTGTAAAAAATGTTCATGCTAAGTATTAAGAGCAGTAACATTAAATTACAAGCAAACCCAATTTTCAATAAGATAAAATAGGCAAATGCCTTATTTTTGATATATTTGCATGTGTACTTGTGCTACAGCATTTTATATCTTAATCATATATCTATATATTATAATCATAAACCTATAGTGCATTTTCATTTCTGGTCCTTTCATCATCATCATCAACATCATCATCATTATCAGCATCATCATCATCAACAACATTACATAACCCTGCCCTTTGTTTCTTTATCTTTCTACATAATAATTGAATAATTCTTTACCAAGGTTTGCTCTAGACTTGTATCAGCAGGTAAAGGATTTAGATTGTTGACTGGCTGAACTGACTGAACCACCGTGAAAGTTGACTCACCTGAAGAAAATTTAAGTAGAATTTAAAAGTTAATATCCTGTAAATTATACAACTTATCAATTTAGTTGTAATTTCTTTGTATCTCACGTCACATGTCATTCCGCTGAGAATAAGATACTTATGAGGTTGCAACTGAATTGCATGCATTTATTTCTTTCCAACCGTTATTAGGAAAAAAGATAATATTTCCTAATGGATTGAGATGTGGTCTGAAATGGGAGAACAATTGATAGCCACTTATTAGACTAAAAAAATCAGTAAAATTATTAGTAAAATTATTTGCCCATATTTGTATAGACAAACAAATGATCTCAAGGTAGAAGGACTTGCATATTCTTACCCTGTAATAAAGGAAGTAAGTCAACACAGGTCTGACCAAGTATATTGGTCTTCTCTTCCTTTCCTTTCTTGTCCTTTGGTAACACTTCAGTTACGGTTACTATTGAAAAAATAAGTCATCAGATCATAGTTCCAGTAAATATCCATACTCTCACAACAGTAAGAGATTACTCATAAGAGGGTCCTGAAGAGGAGGTGTGGTCTTAATCCCATTTCTCAGCCCCCATTTTGACTAAATCCCATATAGTCCCAACCTATATTTTGCTCAAATCTCAATCCCATTCCCATTTTTAGCTTGTTTGTTTTTTTGTGAATCCCATTCCCAGTGCATAAAGCATCATTTTCCCAGCCCCAAAAAGGTGAATCCCAGCTCCCATTTTACTCCTTCAAGACTCTCTCATAAAATAATATCCCTGCCATAAAAAGGCAATAGAAATACCTGCATCTACCAAAGTGCAGATGAAGGCATTCTTTAGACAAGGGATTGCATCAGAATCTTTGTGAATTGCATGCACGATCCTCTCGCATATCTAAATTTTGAGGATAAAAAAATTTCCATGGGTGGGGAGGGTGGAGTTGCATCTCTGGCTGCCACTGAAGTGGAAATTCCATTCTCCCCCATCCGTGCACAGTTGTACAAAGGGTGGATAGTGCTATAAATTTATCCAGTGAATAATATTTACTTTTTGAATAGTGCTATCCACCCTTCGTACAACCTGGGCCTGTAGAGAGAGGTTTGAAGTTGGTATTATTGATCAAGATAACTTACTAATGACAGGTTTGTGGGCTATGGAGTCCAGATGAGTTGGATCATCAAATGAGCATTCAAACGTAGCATTGAAGTTGTACTCTGTCGTGAAGGTCTCGGTATTTGCTTCTACTTTTGTTGATTCTCCAAGTAAGACACTTCCAAACTCAACACGAACCAGAGAGCTAATGGCTTCTCCCTTGGATCCTTTCTATGGAACAACAGAAAAAATACTTTATATACAATGTACTCACTTATCATCTATTTTACCAAAGGAAAGAAGCTTAACCTTAAAATAACCAACATGAAATGCTTTACAGCACTGTCTTCATACTTGCACGCTTTATAAAATTCTAAAGTATCCAAAAATTCTCTTTCAAAAAAACCACTAAAATACGAAGAGAAAATGAAGGAGGGTTTCAAACTTACCAGGTTTTTGCAGCGAGCAACATTTATTGTCACCACTTCTGGCGCTCTAACGTTTTCTACATTCTCTTCACTCGACATTTTTTGAATAGTTTGAAATCAGTATTTTCTTGTTTCTCTTTGACGGTCGCTCAAATTTATCTACAAGAAGCGAAAGAGAGACAAATTATCATGACTTCTGTGAGTAAAAGCAAGAATGTTAGACCGCCATGTTGTTTTAGGCCCATGGACTTGGTTGTCATGACGATGGGTCTGAAGTAATTCCGCTGAAATTTGAGCCTGCTTTCGTTTTCTTGTTCTGAGTGAAACATTTACCGGAAAAAATGTGCCATTATTTTATCTTCTTTTTTTTCTTTCTTTTGAAAGAATCACCTGTGTATTTATACTAAAACAATTATTTGCCTCAGCCTCAGTGAATATCGGGGAACATTTACCGAGACGCGAGTGTTAAATAAAGCATGTCTTCTTTTCTTTCTTCTTTCCGGGCTCAATTCTACTGAATTTCGATTGGACGGGATATTCATGCGAGATCGTTTGCTCGCTTGAGAAAATGAAATTCAAAACGCAACAAATTTAGAGTCCGCGACGCCGGGCGGAATGAACTGCTAAAAGCGATAATCTGGTACAAGAGGGCTCAGTAGAAAACGAACGTTTTAACGAATCAGGTCAGTTTTCAATTGCTCAATTCCTTGCTAACCCTAGATTAAAGCGATAGGGTATTTAAGAAACAGTTTTTTATTTGTTGCCGGTCCTGCTTGCATCCACATACAAACTGTTTCGTTACAAACCTAACCAACAGTTTGTATTCGGATCCACGCCGACGCGTATAGTCCCGCTTTTAATACAAGGTCCTGCATTGAGAAAGTATTCCGGGACTTATTTTTATTCCATTCGCCTATTATAAGAAAATTTTATTTTTAGCTCTTGATTGGTTTAAATTTACTTGAAATTTTGACATGTACTGATTTATCAAAGGTTTATTAAAAACATTAATTTCACATGGTATATCTAGCTCGAGGTTGCATGTTTGACTAGATGAAACTTGGGTCTGCATGCTCGATGGGCAGACAATTGTCATGTTTTTTTGTTTCGGCGTTTCTTTGTTTGTTTGTGCATTTTGTATATAAAGAGCAGACCACGCCCTATTTCCATTGTTTGATGTCGGGTTTGAAGTTTGAATGAAAGCCTGTCCCGGCCGGGTTTTCAATTGGCATTGATACTAACAGGGAAGAGTGGGGCTGAATTCATGAACCCGGGACAGGTTTTCCATCGAAATTCAAACCCTACATCAAACATTAGAAATAGCACTAGCTTGGTTTGGATTGAAATTTAAGACCTCGGGCCTGCGGCCCTCGGTCTCGAAGTTCAATGCAAACCCTCGCGCTAGGGCTTTACTGAACCTATATGTAATAACCGGCTAAAATCATCTTTCTCGTGCCGCGACCAATAAAAAGATAAGGTTTTTATAGATGACCCCGCGAATCATCGCTAAAAATACCACCAGTACTAGTTTTCTTTTCTGTATTTATTGGCCTCAAAATGATATATGCCGAAAACGACGAAGAAGGACTAGCGTCCGAAACGTCAGTAAGTTTTTTCATCTTTTCACGGTCGGTAAAATTTACCCTTTTGTCATTACTGTTTCATTAGAAACGACGACGCAGCTCACACTAGCTTTTAGCTAGTTATCTCTTCTTATGCCAAAAACGTAGGTCACAGAGAATATAGATGAATAAGATATAACAGCCGGTCACAGAGAATATAGATGAATAAGATATAGCAGGCTATGCTATCCGCTCTTTTATCCATGAAGACAAAAGGAAAAGAAGAATGAAAAACGGAAAACTATTCTCTATCTTCTTCATATTCAGAAGCTGAAGGAAGATAGAAATATATTAATTGGAAGTGGAAAAAATAATTAGATCGCCAATGCCACCTTATATTAATTAAACACTCATAAACAACGTGACTTCTAAGTAAGAAACGTTATTCTAAAGGCTAACGAGTTCAAGGCAACCTACAGGACTTTCAAGGCGAAGAAACTTCAAGAACATGCTGCATGGAAACTTAAACCGTTGACTACGGAGCACATTTGATAATTTGTACACCCTTCTTTAAAAGTAGTTCAGTAGTTCTAGATCTTATAGCAATTGATACCCCCTGATCGTTTCACAAGTACGAAAAGCAATACCACAAAGTGTGTGCTTCAGCACTAGACTACACTAAGTTCTAGAACGCAAGGAAAACAAAGACCACGATGGTCAAACCCTCTTGGCTTACGCTCAGAGTGCCGACTTCCGCCTTAAAAAAATGGAACGTAAAAAGAGGAGGGAAATGGGAAAAAAGAGAAGATTCCTAAATTACATTCAGCTCTACCTTAAAGACGTAAAAAGCCTGATAGGAATCAAACATTTTATCGTTTTAAATCATACTTTATTATTCTTAAAAATAGAACAAAAAATCCTGAAATAGGTTTCTTTATGTCCACCGCGAGACAGAAACGAGGTAATGCAATACTAATTGGTCTTTCAGTTTTTAGTGTGGTTTAGTTGCTGCTAAGAGTCTTAGTCATAGACGATTTGACGATAACGTTAGGACTTGTGGGAACAATGAAAAGGGAGAGAGAGAAAGAAAGCGTGGAAAGAAAACGAAAATCTAAATATCAAAATGTCTTTTTCTTTAACGTTTTTGGCTGGAAGTGAAAATACTAGTATCCATGCATTAAACGTATAAAGGTTGAGGGGCAGACGGCCTTTTTATTTGTCGGTTTTTTATCTTTTTCCTTTTCGCTTTCATTGACTCTATTCTTATTATATTACATACGACCAATAGTCTTTTTTTCTGAGAATTACCGTATTTTTAATCAAAGTTTTTTTTATTCCAACCACAAAATAACCTCAACCATTCGATCTTGACATATATATCTGTGTAAACCTTCTGTCATTAGTTTAATTTTAAACATTTTTTCTAATAATTTTTGGTTTAATTAAAGTATGGAATGCATGAGAAAGACGCGGATGAATTTTGACTTGATTGCTAATAGTTTTACCATCTCGTTCCATAAAATCTTATTAAATTACACACCGAAACTCTATTCAAATGCTTTTCTAAAAAAAATCAATAAAGGCTGCTATAACGGCCTGAGGGCTTATTGTTAGAGGTCTTTGTTTGAGAATATACCATGTTACGCCGAGTATGATATTAAAAACTTAGATTTGAATATGTCCCCAGTCATGGGACGTCGCTACGTTAAGTCTAGTTATTAAATATTAGAAAGTAAACGCAACGTAAACTGAGATCAGAAATTGGAAACAAATGAACGAACGAACCTTGCTATTTCCGAATGAAATATATACATGTGTAATATCGTTTGTTTGCCAAGTATATATCTCGTTATCGCATTGGCAAATTACGTCAAAGCACCGATCGGTAATGGTTCTCGGTTGATATATGACATGTAACCGTCTCGCATCTCCGTACTCAAAATCCTTTACTTGAGCACAGAAAATAAAAGTATATGTAAAATGATAACAGCAGTAATGGTAGTCAGTGTTAAGTGGTAGGAGGCTGTAGATTAATTTCGTTTAACATCGAGGAGACATGGCAAGGACGGAATGGGAAAAGACAAGTTGAAAAGACAAACTTGAAAAGCTCAAAATCTGGCTTTTGATATTGAAGATGGCTAGATGTACAGTTATCGACGTTAAAAACTCTCGATCTTCTGGCATAATCAGTAGGGTCCAACAGCGATAAAAGTCATGATCCATCTACTTCGTGAACAAAACTGCGTTATTACAAATTTTTCATTCACTTTGTTGGTAATCATGGCCTATAACACCTGTTTCGAAGACTTCGTAAGTCGGCTAGCGATCTTTTGTTAACTAGTTTTTCACTAAGAATTATCTCAAATTGGTTCAGACACAAAGTTTAAGCTCCAGTTATTTCAACGGGTTATTTCAAATGTTCGCAGAAACTTTCTTGTAGTGATAATTTCCCATCCGTGCTGTTGCTCAAAAACCCTTTGTTTACTTTTGGACACCTTTTGTAAGGTCCCAGCGTGTTCATTGTTGAATCTACCATCGTCTTCGGGCATATTCTCGTTAAAAATCTTTCTATCTTTCAGAAAAAGAAGCGTCCTCTTTAACTCACTCTTGCTGTTTGTCCAAATGTCCAATGTTGCACTAAGTTCCTTCCCTGGGTACATCTACACCTGCCACACGGTACGATGGTTCTTCCCGGCAAATCGCGTAATTTTCGGGGCATACGCGGATCCTAACCAGGCCTATATTTTTATTCCCGACAGCCAGAATCCTCAAAGAGTGTGTCCTATCGCCCTCACAACTGCGATACGAAGTAACTAAGAAGAAAACAAAAGGCAGATACGTGATACCAGAGAGCGATCGCACCAACAAACAACCCAAACGCCATGTTGATCGGTCTGTGAATGAAATAAAAGTATTCTGATTAATTCCAGTTTCTCCCAATGTTATGACAACGTCATTACTACGCATAATCTGTATAATTCGCCGCTGACAGTTATGTTCGTGGACGTGCTGCTTTCAAAACAGGAAGTACAAAGGTGCAACTGCAACCATTTTATTTTTATTTTCTGTTTGGCTCGTTAACAAAATCTGGTGTTATGAAAGCTGTTATTCAACGGGTCACCCAAGCTAGTGTTAGTGGTACGTTCTATACGACCGTATAATTTTCTGCTGATGCTACGTGACAAATTCGATGTTGATTGAGTTTATATATGTGAAAGATAAAAACACACTTGGATTTTTAGATTTTCCTCAGGCAATCCTCAGGCATTTTATAATTATGGCCTATTTATGGTCGTTTTACAAGATAAATCACTTCTATTTGCACATCTTTCACGCTTGCTATGCACGTAATCATTGAAAACGTGCTGTCTATCTCTTTGTCTGTCTGTCTGCCATATTCTTGTTTGTCTGTCATATTCTGTTAATTTGTCTGTTTGACTTTATCAGTATTAAGGTGATGTTGTAGGGGAAAATAATCCACTTAACAGTTCTGTAATAATAGTTCCAAGTCAGAGTTGCCGGGCATAATAAGCTATAGTTTAAATTAATGGTCACTAAAAGACACTGTAAAAAGGATCAGAATTGGCAATGATTTTTGCGATATGAAACACCTTTTGCCAGTTTTTGAAGCTGAATCAAAAACTTGCAACATGTTGTCAAAACTGAAAATAGTAGCACATGGCATGCTACACAACATCAATTTTGCATGCAATACCATGAATGTGCAGTTTTTATCCCATTATGTTATGTTAGATGTTGATAATTCAGAGTTAATTTTAGCAGAGGGAGGAAAATCTGGAAAAATTGTAGAAAAGCCCTCAAATCACAGGAGAGAACCAGCAAACAACTCTACTCACATGTCTCGGAATTGATACCAGTTCACCTTGGTGAGAGGCAGGCAAAACTTTCACCAATATGCCACCAATGCTTCAGGTGACCACTGTACCAATATTTGTTATCTATGAACCAACGTAGGTTTTGGGCAAGGGCTATAAGAGCACCCGAGAAAACTGGTGTTGAAGCATTAATATATACAGAATAATTTTTTTATCTTAGACCAAGATATAATGAAATTTCCATTATCTCAGACTTGACCCCTTAAGTTGATGGATAGATCGTAAGTTGAATTGGCAAAGGCAGCACCTGATACTCCATTTACGTGATAAATAGCATTTCAAAATTCACATTTTGTTAAGTGCCTCTTTAAATATAATTACTAACTAATGTTTTTCTTAGTTGATGGAGAGATCATAAGCTCAATTGGCCGAGGTCTGTGTGTTCTTCTGGGAATATCAAGAAATGACACTCCAAAAGAAATGGAATATATGTAAGAAATAATGGATTTTTATTTAGTATTTGTGGAGTTAATATTATATTTTATCTATATGAATTTTTTCATACCATTATAATTGCTGTCACTGAAGATCAATTTCAATATGATTTTTTGTTGACAAAACCTTTTCACTTTACAATCACAAAAGATGGTTAGTATGAGGCGTAGACAATGTGGTCAATGCCAGGATTTTTTTAAAGGGGGACTAGCATGTAAATTGTCCGAATTTTAATTCAGCTGAAACTTTTACTGGAATAACGATGGAAAGCATTATATTTTTGCGAATTTTTATAGAAGCCTGTGACGTCATACACTCAACACTAAACATTGCTCCATACATTTCTTTGCATTTTGTAGTCAAAATATCTGATAGTTTTATACTCAGTATTGAAGAAAAGATACCATAAAATGATTCTAGCCACAAATAAGTTATGTACGTTAAGTCCCTCAGTGGACCTTTGGGCTTGATAGACAAAGTAAAACATGAAGTTATTTACAAAGAAATGTATGGGGGCAATGTGTGGTGTTGAGTGTAAGACGTCACGTATGACGTCCTATAGAAATTAGTAGAAATATTAATACTTCCTTGGAAGATAAAGAAAAACTTTAACCAGTTGTTATTAGACCTTTAAGGGTTATTCTAGTAAAGTTTCAGCCAATTTAAATTTCGGAAGATTTACGTGCTAGTCCCCCATTAAATACACCCTTAGCTGTTCTTTCACATTCTTTCAATATTGGTTAGAGATGATAAAGTGTGGAGACATGAGACTGCCATTACATGGTCCTAAGAGCCCCTTAAAAGTCTAAACATTTGTAGATGGTATTACAACACTTCGAGTGGTTAAATATCCCATGTATCAAAATTTAATGAATGAGTTGAGTTATACATTGAGTGCAGTTATACATGTCCAGAAATATTCACTCACTTATTCGTTTGTTTGTTTGTTCATTGTTCATTTGTTCATTTGTTCATTTGTTCATTTGTTCGTTCATTCATTTATTCATTCATTTATTCATTCATTCCTTCCTTCCTTCATTTGTTTAATTGTTTCTTATAGATTTTTCTATTCCTATTTATTTATTTATTGTATAGTTGTAACTGAGCTAGAATGAATGTGAATTCAAAAAACTCTAACCACACCGGTATTATAAGCTATTATAAAATAACTAAGATATAACGCGCGCTCTGATTGGTCAATTACCGTTTTATATAACTCAACATAGATTGTGAGGAAATGACGTCAGCAACGCAAGAGATGTTTTGTTTGTTTCTTATGTTTTTTATTATTTCTTTTGAGTTAATCATTAATTATATCTTAGTTATTTTATAGAAGAGATTTTTTATTGTTTTCTATCTCTTCACTGATGCATGCAGGTGATGTCATCCAAAGCTGTATTATGCATTACTACATAGTATAAATAACATAAATATTTTTGTTTTGAACTTGTTTTAGAGTTAGAAAAATTCTAAACCTTAGACTTTTTGATGACAATGGTCAAAGGTGGAAGAAAAGTGTCATGGATAAACAATATGAGGTTCTTTGTGTGAGCCAGGTAAGAAAAAATCTTTGTTACAATTGAATAATGAAATCAAGAATCAAAAAAATAAAGTCATTAATGACCTCTTCGTGTTCACGCTTGAGGTGGTTTGTCTGTAATGGATTCAATTAAACTAAATGTTCACAGTATATTAATGAGTGTCAGTATTTATTTGATGTCAGTATAGCTTGAATGGCCTATTAGCTTAGATTAATGACTTTCATTATGACAGGATGTCATAAGGACAAAAGGTACTAAAATACTCAATTAGACTTAATGGAAACAGGAATTGTACTTAGAAGTACTTACTAGAGTGTTCCATTTTGTAAGCCATGGCTAACTTACAGATGGAATTGAAATTCAAAGTGCCTATGACACCCAACTCAAAATTTTCAGCATTGATTCTAAATAAAGTAAAAAGTTGAATAGTAAAATATTTTTATATTGTTTGAGTGATGCATCTTCGAGATATCAAGGTTTATACTTCCAACATGCTAATGATATGATGTTAAAGGAGGCATCATTAAATATACAAAAATATCTCATAGTAATCAGTGTTTCGATTTCCATGTGATGGCAGATAAACTGAAATGCCTTCTTTGACGTCACGTCATTAACATATTGGGAGTAAAAACCTTGATATCTCCAAGGTGCATGATCACTCAAACCATAATAAAATAATTTACTATTCAAGTTTTCACTTCATTTCAAATCAATGCTGAAAATTTTGAATTTGGTGTCATAGGCACTTTAACATGTTAGGTGAGAATCTGTAGAAAAACTATTGAATCAAGGAGAGACATCACAAACTCTACTCAGTCATGTAATGGAGGAATGCGATGAAGTCCAGGAATTGAACCTGAGACCCAAGACGGCAAAGTGCTAGGCGAGTGCACTGCTACTATGCCTTCTTCCCAAAAATAATTGGAAATCATTTTTTTATGGTCATGTTAAAGCTTCTGTTTTAGCTCACTTTAATGTATCAGAAGGAGATTTGGACCCCTATATGTGTTACCTCAACTTTTGCATGGACTTTATGATATTTTCCCACATAAGTGTATATTTTCTGAAAGCTAAATAAAGTTTAAAAATCTATTTACAGTTGTCTGTGCCTCTGATTTTTTAAATATTTTTCTAGATCAAGCGCAATCACGTGTTAAATCCGGATGTTTTGGTTTCGGTGGTTATGATTGCAAAATAGACAATAAAATTGCAGTAGTGCATTATAGGGTCTATAGGGAACCAAATCTCCTCCTGATACCTTAAAGGTAAAAAGGGTAAAGAGATTATTTAACATCAGTGTTCCAAACCTTGTAGCTGGTCTTCCAAGGAACCAATGTATCACCAACTTTGTTTTAGAGCTATAAGAATTTGAAGAAATGAAGTGCTTTTTTGCTTATCAAAACCCTAAAATGATATTATCAAGATGAATATACACACACTCAACTCATGCATTGGAAAGGATACACATGAGCAGTGCCATCAAAGTCCTTAATCAAAGCTGAAGCTACGAGGATTAGATAGATGTCCAAACAAAGTGTGACATCACAGGGTGAACTGCAGATGCCAAGCTTAGCAAGAAGCACACTTATTACCAACTCAGTCACTAATGGTGGCACTTAATTTCTTTGGATTTGAATAAGTGTCTGTGTCACATCATATGATTATCAGTCTGTTAAATTAAATATCAATCCTGTACTGATAAAAGTTCAAAGTCTAGGCATAGCTAATGCACAAAATGATTAGGAATTTAGCTTGTATCATATATTAATGGTTTTTTTTAAATAATAGTTTACATTATGCAGTGTACTTAAAGGTAATAAACCTGATTTCCATTGTGCAATGGGAGGAGAAGAAAGTGAGAAATTTTACCAAACATTTTTAGAAAAAATGAGGACAGCTTACAAGCCAGAAGCCATCAAAGGTAACATGTTTTACTTTAATTTACAATACTCTGTCAATGCAAACAATTTGTTGCTTTAACATTTACCAAAGTTTTTCAGGAGGGAGGGGAGGGGATTACCTGGGTGGCAAATTTCTAAACAGTGAGGCTACAGGATTATTCCTTGAAGGCACCAGCTGAGAATTTAATTTTTTTAAAGCCTAAAGAACTTTTTGTCAATACCCTGAAATGGTTTCTGGGCTGAACTAAGTAAAAGACAGGGCATGGATAATTTTGTTAGCCAGTCATTTTGAATAATCATATCATATCAATTGATAAATATCACGGGGGGGGGGGGGGGGGGGGGNGGGGGGGGGGGGGGGGGGGGGCTGAAGCCCCCTTCAGCAGAAAAAAAAACAAAAAAAAAATGAAGAATTAGATGCTTTTTTCATTGTTCATGTATTCGATTCATTCAAGAGGTTTACTACTTGGAAAATAAAACAAAGAATAATTGTTCTATTTTCAGATGGAAAATTTGCTGCTTATATGCAAGTACACATTCAAAATGATGGACCAGTCACAATAAATCTTGAATCAACACCTAGTTCCAATAATCAACAAGAAAAACAGGTATGAAGCAGTTACAGCTTTTTGTTTTTACCTCGTTGTGATAAAATAACGAGAAAACCATAAAACATTTAAAACATAAAATATATATTACAAAGGGATATTTCCATAGAAATATTTAGGAAAAAGCTGTAAATGATAGTAATTATTTTTCAATAGTAAATATGGGAAATTATGAGGAAAATAAAGTAGTGCCAAGTAGGCTGTTCACCACTGGGGAGTCAGGATGGCATGATGGTAAAACGCTCGCCTCTCACCTCTGAGGTCTGGGGTTCGAATCCCAGTCACCCCATGTGAGCTAAGTTGGTTGGCTTTTTCTCCCTCTCAAATCAACCCTAACTAATTCAAACTGGTTAGAGCTGTGCTCTGGGTCGTACATGGACTGTATAGTGGCTTCCAGACATGGCTTCACATGGTTTCAGTTCAACACTGTTAAGCTACGCCACTGATGTACTTGCGGTGGTGATTAGTGATGCGAGGTTTTTTAGATTAGGAAACATATACAGCATGCCTTATGGTCAAGGAAACTATTCTTATTTATTCTTGGGGAAAAAGTGAAGGGTATCCTTGTCAACCCAGTAATCTAAAAAAAAATCTAAAAAAAAAATCTACAAAGCTTTTCGCTGTCGTATCACAGCGTGGGACAATCACAACAGAGCTAGGCTCCAAACTAAGTGAAAGCGCAAAGATCGAATTAGAATTTTAGAAGTTGATTTTTGAGGAGGGAGGAAAACCAGAGAACCCAGAGAAAAACCCTCGAAGCACAGGAGAGAACAAACAAACAATTCTACTCACATACGACATCGAGATCGACAGGACTCGAACTCGGGCTGCAATGGTGAGAGGCAGCACATTAGCAGCGCACACGACCTGTGCTTCCCATAATCATCCTTCATATCATCTATGTCATACCTTCTTCTTGGCCATTCCCAAGGAAAAAACTTAAATTTCCATTTTTTCCCAAAATTTTATTTTCCAGAATCCTGGAAAGAAAGTGAAGTCTTCAAGTGAAGAAAATGGCGAAAGAGAAAATTCAGTCCAAGAACAAACTGCATCAAATTTAACAGAACAAGTAAAAGGCTTAAAACTTGAAAATATGGACAGTGCCTCATAATCCGTTATTAGGGTCCGAGTATTCATAATTTACTGGGAAGAGAGGGGGGGG